GGCACGGGGACCCTGTCCCACAGCTACCGCTATGAGGTGTGTCTCACTGGAGGCCCTGGGACAAATGAGTTCAAATTCCTCAAGCCATTATTCCCCAACCTCCCGCCCCAGGCTTTTGGGGAAGAAACGGAAACAAATGCTATTGTCCGTAATAGTTTTGGGTTCCAATAGCGATCTGATGACGATGCAGTGTTTTCTGCCATTTATCTCTATGTTACCAAGATACAGCATTTGAATTTTGTGGAGAAAAATTTCAGCTTCAGGTATAATTTTGATTTTCCTTTTGTAACGGATTTGTCCATTGAACTTTATACAATTTAGGAAAATTCTTTCTTTTGGGGGGGGGCGCCCGGTGTAGAAACCAGGGTCCAGGGGCCTTGTAGTATATCAGTGAACTGTACTCGCAGCTCAATTCTACTTCTCTTCTGTTTACACATTGCCATCCCATCCATGTTGTTGGTTTTCCTGAGAGTTTTGATATCATTGGTATTTGTTATGAGTGATCTTAATAAATCAAATATTATTTTAGTGTTCTACCTAATTCCACCCATTTTGTTTCTTCAGACTCTGAGTATTTGATGCTATATTGGAAAATAATTGAAAATTGAAAATAAATTTAAAATGTTTTATGGCATTTTCATTTTAATTGTTGCTGCTTGGTGCCTGAGGACCACTTTTTGAGCCACCTGATGGATGTCAGTGTCGGAATCTTTTCTCAGAATTATCAGTATGAATTTTACCTGGAAGAAAGCTCTATGACTCGGGACTTCCAAGTTTTTGAACAAATACTCTCAAACTTGGGTGAAGGGAGTGATAGAAACACCAACAAAAATGACAACTTCAGGTATCATTTTGAGTTAAATCAGTAATGTAATTTTGACGATGTGATAAATTGTGACATTCATTATCTATAAATTCCCAGTCCTTTCATTCACATAAAGAGCTTACATATTTAATGTAATGAGTGTAATTAGTCATATTTATAACAATTTGAACCTATTGAACTGTTTTCCATTTTGTTAGGCACCTTACATAACATATGCACACAATGGCAGAAATTCAGTACCTTGTTTCTCAAGGCAGTCAGTTTTTTTGGGGGGGGGTGTCAAATTTTGAAAAATCACAGATATTTTGAAGTTCTGGATATTTGAGCTTCTTCATTGATATCTTGTTATGATTAAGAGAATTTCCCCAAAACTTTCTGATTATCAGCATGACTCTATTGTAAATAATGGCTTTTCAATTTTAAAAATAATTCTTTCATGCAAAAAAAATAGTGATCTTATACATTGTTGGGGTTTTGTTGGGTTGTTTGAAAAACAGGATTGTCTTTCCTCAAATAAACCAGTATTTCACCTGATGATGTTTTCTAAATTGATTATTTGTTTTCAAAATTGATACCATTTAGCTAAGCATGGTGGCCCATGCCTATAATCCCAGCACTTGGGAGACTGAGGAAGGAGGATTGCCATGAGGTTAAGGCAAGCCTGAGCTACATAGTGAGTTCAAGGTCAGCCTGAACTACATGGAAAAACCGTCTCAAAAAATTAATATCATTTATCAGGTGATCTATTATTATGAAGGATTCAATATCTATTACCTGAATGAAAAAAGTTAGTAGACTTGTGATTACGTTTTCATAGTAATTGTCATTAAATAGTAAATCTTTTTAAAGAATAATAAAGTCACATGATTCAAACACAAGAAAAATAGCATAATTATTCTAGAACTCAGAAATAGCTTTATTAAGTACATTCTAAAATATTCCCGAATGAGCAAGTAGGGAGGTAGGTGGTCAGTGGTATAGTGTGAATTTTGCTTGTGAGAGGCCCTGGATTCGGTCCCCAGTACTGCATAAAAAGAAAAATAAAACATTTCTATGAATGCATACAAGAATAAATTAATAGATGGAAATAATTTATAAAACGCATGGACAATAAGCTAATTGTTTTTAATTACAACTGTCAGGAAGAATATAATAAAATGTGAAACTATAGAACTTTCTTAAACTTGAATAATTAGGTTGAAAACCTTTTAACCTATAAGGTTGAAAAACAACACTGTAGTGCTTATTAGGGACTGAGGATGTAGCTCAGTATTATTCAATCCCCAGCATAGCAAAAAAAAAAAATTGGGTATGATGCATTGAGCTCCCTGTTGCAAATGAGCAAATAGGACTGGGGATAGCCCAGTAGTAGACTGTTTGTCTAGCATTCATGAAACCCCAAGTTTGATCTCAAGCACTGCAAAAAAAAAATGAATAAAAATTCTTAAATCTCCTCCATCTTCATGGTTCTTACACTTCTTGTGATATATATGCATGTACAAATAAACTTATTAACATTTAAAATATATTTGAAAGGATAATTTCTATAATTATTTAGACAATTTATATCAAAAAAATTTAATTTATCCAGATGTGGTTGCATACTCCTGTTATCTCAGTACTCTGAGATTAGGAGGAAAGAGGATCACAAGTTCAACCCCAGACTGGGCAATTTAATGACTTACAGTAGTGGTTCATTTCATCTTGATCCAATGGTCATTCAATAAGAAGTTGTTTAATATTTGATTTTTCAGGGGCCAGGGATTTAGCTCAGTGGTTTCGCTGCCCGCTGCACAAGCGCAAGGACTCAAGTTCGATCCCTGGCACCAAAAAAAAAATTTTTTTTGTAATTTTCCTTATATTTATTCTACTTACTATCTTTTGTCCTTATTTCCTATCTAGTTGATATTTACTACATATTTTACATACTTGTGACTGAATTTTAAATTTTTGATGATATAGTTTTGCTTCCAAAAGGTACTTTCTTATCTAAATTTTTCTTTGTATAGAAGCCTTTTAATTTTTAATTTTTGGTGAGATAATACATATAATATTCACCTTTCAAAAAATCCAGTGTTTTTTTAGTGTATTTAAAAGGCTGTGAATTATTACCACTATCTAATTCCAGAACATTTTCACCACCCTGAAAAGAAATCTGGTACCCATTAGCAGACACTCATACCTTGCCCACTCCTGCCTCTGGGAACTACTAGTCAATTTTCCATCTCTTTTGATTTGCCTGTTCTGGACATTACATACAAAGAGAATCATACAATATGTAGCCTTTGTGTCTGTCTTATTTTACTAAGCATGTTGACTTCACAGTTCATTCATTTTCTAGCATGTATCAGTATTTCATTCCTCTTTATAACTGAATAATATTCTGTTGTATGAATGTACCATCTTTGTCCATCATTTGATGGCCATTTGGCTTTCTTTGTACTTTTCAGTTATTATGTATGACAAGTGCTATGAATATTCACATGCAAGATTTTGTGAGGACTTGTTTTGACTTCTTCCAAATATATACCTAGGATTAGAATTGCTGAGTCATAATACTGGCCTTGCATAACTTTGTAGTTATTGTTAAAGAGTTTTCCAAAATGACTACAATTTTACATCCCTATCAACAATACATGAAAACCTGATTTTGTTCTATCCTGTTATTTTGTTTTTAATTGCTACCACCCTAAAGGTATAAAGCAGTGTCTCATTGTGGTTTTATTTGCAGCTCCCAACTGACTAATAATGTTGAGCATCTTGTCATATCCTTATTAGATATTTGTATATCTTCTTTGGAGAATTGTCCACTCAAATCCTTTATTGAAACGCTTTTTGGGTGGAAATACAAGTCAGTATCTATAAGTCTTTTCTTTTGGGTTTGGATTATTCTTCAGAGTGGAATTCAATAAGTATGGAGTGTGGGACAGAAAATATATAAAACTGACACCTAGCACTTTGAGGTTTCCTTGGTTTGGGGAAGGCAGTGCTCTTCAGTATTTGGGAATTTTTACCTTCTTCTCACTAAGGTCTCAGTTGTGTTGGTGTCCCTCAGTCCAGAGCCTTTTCTATTTAACCTCTACAGATATTACACCTTCCATATTCTGCCATTGTGAGAAAAGGAAAGATACTTTGCTTCACTCACTGGCAAAGGAATTCTCGATATTCCTTACTAAGTTACCTTGCTGAGACAAACTACTTGACACAACTTAAAGGAGGAAAGGCTTATTTCAGCTCATAGTTTGTAGAGGGTTCAGGCTGGCTGCACAGCAGGGCAGCAGGGCAGAAATGTATGACAGAGAAGAAGGAGCTCATGATGGGGGCAGGAAGCAGAAAGAGAGATCAAGGGAGGAGAAAGGAAAGTAAATCCTTCTGGGCTATGCCCCTGGTTCATTTATTTTAAATGTTTTCTCTCTATTATATAAATGAGCTTTAAGGAAGCAATTGAAATAAACTGGTGTGCTCCTACCAGAAGTAAATTGAGTCCTCATTGTTAAGTCATATAATCCCAGTTTTTCTATACTTGACTCATTTATCTTATTTCATATTTTCATTTGCTTCATTTTTTCAGGTGTAGTCCTTTAAATAAGAATTTATGGGTGATGCATTTCTTAAATCCTTGTGTCCCTGAGAAGTATAGTAGAGCTGGGTATAAAATTCTTCAATTTCCTTTTCCTCAAATATTTGTTGACATCAAATTTACATTAGTCCTTCCATCACAGCTTCTTCACATATCTAAAATTGACTCAATTTTAACATTAGTTTCTTTCAGAACTCATGGGTGTTAATGCAATATTTCATGAATTTTTCCTCTTTGCTGTATTGTTATCTTTGTACATGAACAATATTGGCTAATGATAAAATTATTGAGTCAAAATTTCTTTCCTTCATAAACTTATAAATATTTCCATTGTGTATTAAATATTTCTCAGGGCAAGTCTAGAGCCTGTTCTGTTTACCTTTGAGCAACTTGCAATCCATTATCCTTGCAATCCATTATATTTATTAGTTTAGGTCTTGATTACAGTAATTTTCTATCACTTTTTCCTGGAACTCAGTGTGTCCTTTTAATCTGATCCATGAAGATATTTTGAAGTATGACATTTATTCATTCATTAGTTCATTTATTGTAAATATAATTATTTTTTAAATCTCTCTGATACTTCCAATATGTGAAATTTGTATAGGCCCCTTGCGGCTGTGTTTTGTTTCTGCTTCTTCTCATTCATGTTGTCTTTGTTTCCTTAACATACATCAGTAATTGCTCTTAAAAATGTATTTTTGGGTGTTCTAAAACCCTAAATTCTATGCTTCATCCTTCAAAATGGATTTTCAAGCTGGAAATGGTGGTGCACACCTGTAATCCTAGCATTCAGGAGGCTGATGTAGGAAAATCACAAGTTTGAGGCCAGCCTGGGCCATGCAGCGAATTCAAAAACCAACCTAAACTACATTGTGAGATTCTGTCTCCAAAAAAAGGACTTTCATTTTTTTCAGTCAGGATACTGGAAACAGTATCAATAGGGAACCAAGTTTCTGACTTAAGTTCCTTCCCCTCAATGTATACATATTCAAAATACATGTACAAACAAGGAACAATCTGTACCTACAGTTTCCTCTTCTTTTTTTTCCTTTTCTTTATATTTTCTTTCTGCTTTACTTAATATTTCTAAGTTCCTGGAGTTGGAGGAAGAGAGTATGTTTAGATTTCTTGGTGTTTACATTATGATGTGGTCCTGTAGTATTCTTTACTATGAGGAGGATCATCCTATAATATGCTGCAACTTTGGTTGCCCCTAGCCTTGATTTTTATTTTTTAATCCCACATAGATTTATATCAGAACCAAGTACGAATATTTTCAAAAGCCCTGAGAACATAAGACATTAAATATAAAACATTTTGTTTTTCTGGTACACTGCTTACCCCTTGATTACAGGCTTCCAACAAAAGTGGCCTTATTGGGCTGAGGATGTAGCTCAGTGGTTCCAGCACCTGTCTTGCAAGCGCAAGGTCCCAAGTTTGATCCCTGGTACTAAAAACAAAAACAAAACCAAAGGGCCCTTATTTCTTTATGTTTTCTACTATATTTTTAGATTTTCAATTCTTTTAAAGTTTTATCCATTATATTTTGTTTTCCACAAGAGGGTTATCTGAATTATCTGTACCATCATTATCAGAAACGAGAAGCTCTGTATAATTTCTCTTTAATTTGAAGATTCAGCTTTTCCATCCTTTCAATTATAGATTAATTAGGCTATTTTACTTTACTTGATTGAATCTAGTATTTCTTTCATTAGATATTCTGCTCATCCAAATTCCTGCTCTCCTTTCTGCTCTAGGTAGTAATCTTTTTCGTTTTTTTCTTTTTTTTTTTTTTTTGGTACCAGGGATTGAACTCGGGTCTTTGTGCTTGCGCAGCAGGCAGCGAAACCACTGAGCTAAATCCCTGGCCCTCTAGGTAGTAATCTTAACAGAGAGAACTCTTTATCTGATGAGCTTAGAAAAATATACATTGAAATTAATATAGGTCAATAAGTGTTGAATTAATGAATTAATTTTAGTCTTTATCATCTGACTTAGTAAACATAAAACTATAATAAAATATTTTATTCTTTGTTTTTATAAAATATTCATTTACTATTTACAGGATTTAATACTTGCTTTGTTCACCTAACAATGTATCATTTAGAATAGTGAGCAAACTTTCATCTTTAAAATTGTGACAGTAAGCCCTTCTCTTATTTATTCACAATGAATTTTTAAACTAATTTTGACTTCTTGTGTTATAATGGAAAAAGAAAAAGTACAGTATATGATTCAGCTTCAGACCATGTTATATTTTAGTATACCTATATAGAGATATATATAACAACATACATATAAATACACACAGTAAGTTTATTAAATGTTTTTATTCTTAAATCTCTTAATTGTGCATCTGAAATTTATTATCTTTCCCTATTCTTAAAGATGTGTTAGCTTAAGAGAATAGTGCCTTACCTGATTATTTTATGTTTTATACATTTTCCTTTACAAACTCTGAGGAGCTCCTCTTGTTCCTTACAGTTTGAATATAAGTATAAATTTTTGAATACATATAAACTAGACTTGAGGACAAAAAACAGAAGGCTGTGTATGTATAAATAAAAATGTTTTATATGGGGACTTACATGCTTATATAATCGCTGAAAGAAGTGGACAAACAGAAGTGAGAGGATCAGCTCTGACCTGCTTCTAAAGAAATGCTACCATATCCTCAGTGCAGAGAGCAGAATCTGATGCTACAGAAACCACCAAACTGTGCTTCCATAATGTTCTCTCCCACCTTCTAAACTGATGACTACCCACTGGAACAGAACATCTGGATACTAGAGTGGCCTCCAGTTCTCAATGAAGCTGATGGCTAGAAAGAAGAATGCTGTCTTGGCTGCAAGCTCAACAGTGCCAAACAATGAGAAGATGACCTTTGCCTTTCTTCTAAGTCTCAGGTGGAGAAATTTCACTAAAATCTAATTTACAGCAAGAATAACAATTCAAATTAATATGAGAAAATGGAAAACTGTAAACAAAATCTTTGTAAATAGGGAGGGATGGAGGAGGTGAAGGGAGGGCTGGGCAAGGGTGAAAAATAAGAACCAAGAGAGATTATGTAAAGGTGCTTGTTTCCAATGATGAATGTCATTATATTGTATACCTAAAATGTACCAATGATTAGAATGAATAATTGATAATGCAAAATAGGAAGAAAAAGTCCAAAGGGGTAGGGGTAGTGGGAGGGGCAGGGGAAAGGAAAGAAGGGAAGGGAAAAATGATGAGAAATGGAAATAAAGTCTTGGTAAATAGGGAAGGGTAGAGGGGATGAAGGGAGGGCTAGGAATGGGGAAAAAATAAGAACCAAGATGCATCAAGTAAAGGTACAAGTTCCCAATGAGAAATGTAAATGTGTTGTATACCTAAAATGTACTAATAAAAGAATTTAAGTTAAAAAAAAAAAGAATAGCAATTCAAAGGAGCCTGGAAAAATGAAGTTTTAAGCTTTCCATACCATAAATTTTTTAAAAGTAGGAATGGATGACATAGGCCAGTGATATACTGGGAAACATCATTGGTTTTAAGGACCTTGTCCCAATAATTGAATTCATTTCTCTACTGCTTTTGAGCCTAAGCTTTCAGGGCCTAAGAAGCAGTTAACTTTATAGCAGTCTGATCATATTGCTCCAGCCATTCACTAACCTATCATCTTAGCCCTAACATAAGTCTAGAATTTCCAAAAGGAAACATAATCAAAACCAAGCAAAGAAAAATGATAACTTGGAGAAAACAGAAAGTTTGCAGACGTACTAATATTTGGGAAGAAACTTCTTATTGATATCATCAGATGAAAAATTGTTGTATCCAAGAAATATGTTTTTAAAAAGAGAGTTCTTGGAAAATATAAACATAATAAAGAAATTAAAACCTAAATGAAATGGCTGAAAATGAAAATGAATCAGAGGAAATATTGCAAAAGATGTTTTAAAATTATAAACAAGAGTGAAAAAGTAGGGGAAGGCCACATCAGAAGTCCAGCATCTGAATTTCAGGTATTCCAAAAAGAGGAGCATAAGGAGGAAAAGACAGACAGAGCGACATAGGCAGAGATGTGAGAGAGAGAGAGAGAGAGAGAGAGAGAGAGAGAGAGAGAGAGAGAGAAAGAGAGAGAGAGAGAGAAATAGAGAATGAAATTATCACTGAAGTGATTTTTAAAGCATCTTAGAGTTAGAATAAATAGTTTTCTAGATGAAATGTTTCATCAGCATTCTTGTATAATAGATAAAATATAAGCCTAAAGCAAAACACATCACTGATTTTTAAATGCTTGGGATAATGACAAAATACTATAATAAACAAAAATACATGTCACATGTGGAGGATAAAAATAAGATTAGATGCAAGCTTTTTAGCAAATACATTGGTTTAGATAGATCTTTGTTTTAAAAAAACACTTTAAATTCTAAAAGAAAATTACTTCCACCTAGAACTCTATACTTAGTCACACTTCCAATCAAATATCTTAAAGATATTTTAGTACATTTAAGATCATAACAATATTTAACTCTCCTACATGGTTCTCTGGAAACTGTGTGAAGACACCAAAATGAGAGAGTAATTCAAGGCAGAAAAAGAAAGAAGAAACAGAATGGATACAAAGCAGGATAAAACTGAAATAAATCTTCAGATAATATTTAAGGATGAGTCTAGAAAAAACCATGTCTCAACACAGTGAACAAAAAATGGTCCAGTCTGGAGCTGTGTGACTGAAAACACAGGCATTTGAAAGATATGATCACATCGCTTCTCGGCCTTTTGGCTAAGATCAAGTGTGAAAGATATGATCACTGAGCCACTTGACATTGTATCAATTCAATCAGCTGAACCTATTGGACAATGTGATCTATTAAAACCATTAAGTGGAAAAAGAGGAAGAAAAAAAGTCCCATAAATGGGAAATATAACCAAAATAAGGGGCAAAGAGAATTTCATGACTGACAACAAAGAGAAATTCCAGGATGATAGCTGTGCAGCAAGTGTAGAAAGCAACCACAAAATTGAAAGGAAAACTGGAACAGATTAATAGTCAAAGGCAAAACAGAAAAGATAGTCATAGGTCTACCACCACTGAAGCCATCAAATCCAATCAATTTAAAAGGCACATATAGTCATAAATAACAATTTACTTATAAAATTGTTATACGAAAGAATATGGAAAGTATCTTAAACCATTCTTTGAGGCCAGGATAAGAATTCAATACCAAAACTAAAGAAGTTATAACACAGTACAATATGGACCAGAAAAATCCTAAAACCATCTTGACATGTCAAATCCATCTCTGCATTAGAACAGTAAGACATCATGACTCAACTGCAGTTATATCATGGACTCAAGAATTAAAAAGCTAAAGAACAAATGGATAATTTAAACAAATGTAAAAATTACTTGAAATATGAAAAAAAAAGTATTTTTCTCAAATTGAGATCGACCACGATAAAGATGCAATAAGAGAAACACTCTACAAAGGCAAGACTGACCTACTTTCAGAGTAACCCATTATATATTAGAGATCCTGGCTATTAAGACTTTATATGAACAATATTTCTATATAATACATAAAGCAGGTAAAGCATGAAGGTCATAGGGCTGAAAGTATTCTAGAAAATATATGTAAAGAGTGAAAAGGTTGAAAATGAGAGTATTGCTTAATTCACAACAAAACTGAAAAGAAAGCCACTTATTCTGTTGTAGGAGCTTCATTATTGCTAATCAGTATACAAATAAATGACAGGTCCTCAATTAATGTTTTACTTTTTATGTAGGGATCACTTTCATATTCTTTACTAACAATTTTGAAATCGATTTTCATCATGTCTTAGGATTTTTTCAATTGAAAAAATACTTTAATATCGAAAGTTAATTGATTCACTGGTCATGAAGCAAATGTAAAAAATTCTTAACTTTCCTTTTTATTAGTATATATTTGTGATAATCATTACATTCCTCTTGAGAAACTAGTATGTATACATATTGCATCTTGATCATTTTTATTCTCCCATCTCCCACTTCCTCAGGTCCCCTTTCCATCTCTACAGAGTCTACCTCCCTGTTTCCTACCATTTGTCTTTTATTTTGCTTTTTAGATAATTAATATTTGGGGTTTCTCATTTGGGTGGGGAACTAGAGTTTAATGCCCCTGGATTTAAGAAAATAACATGTATTTTTCTACAAATTCAGATTATCAGAGGGGGAAACGAGTGTGAGCTCTTACTTCTTAGCATTACTGTGATCATTTGAGGAGAAAGAGAGAATGGAACAGCAAAGACCAGGAAAAAAATCACTCCTGTGGCCAAATGTACTGAGCCCGCCATCTTTTTGTTCTATTAGTGACAACGGGAATAACGTTCACAAACCGCAAGGTGGCGCTGCTGGCTAAAAAGAGAAAAAATACCCTCGCAAAGGATGTTACTGATTCCAGCATCAAAGGAAAATCTGACTAGAAAGGAAGAGAAATCGGGGTAATAGGAGTTGAGGGAAAGTGCAGATCTCTCCTCAAAAGAATTGGTATTATCCAGCTCATTTTTAAGGATTTAGTCCTGGCCATTTCCAAGAACTGCTTGAGGTCGAGTGGGAGTGTTTTTGAGAAACTGACCAAAGAATGGAAGCCAGATTGGAGCGTGCTGTGCAGAAAAGGCAAGTCTTATTTCTTTGTGTAATTCTGGGAATGTCGTGGGCTGTCACAGAGCCACTGCGGTATTCTGTAGCAGAGGAAACTGAGAGAGGCACTTTTGTGGCCAACCTAGCAAGAGACTTGGGGTTGGGGGTGGAGGAACTGTCAGCCCGGGGATCTAGAATTGTTTCCGACCAAAATACAGGATTTTTACTGCTCAATCCGCTGACTGGTGATTTGCTTCTAAATGAGAAACTGGACCGAGAGGAGCTGTGCGGCCCCACAGAGCCCTGTGTACTGCCTTTCCAGTTATTATTGGAAAAGCCATTTCAGATTATCCGTGCTGAACTACAGGTCAGAGATATCAATGATCATTCTCCAGTATTCCTAGACAGACGGATTCTGTTGAAAATATCAGAAAGTAACACCCCAGGGGCGACAGTTCTCCTAGAAAGTGCACAGGATTCAGATGTTGGAACCAACAGTGTGAGTAACTACACCATCAGTCCCAATGCCTACTCCCATATTAACCTGCATGATGACGGGCACGGAAATATCTTTCCTGAATTGGTGCTGGATCAGGTGCTAGATCGCGAGGAGATGCCTGAGCTCAATATAACGCTCACAGCCTGGGATGGAGGCTCTCCGCCCAGATCAGGGACCACCCTGGTACGCATCCTGGTGGCAGACATCAATGACAACGCCCCTGAATTTGTGCAGTCCTCCTACAAAGTGAAGGTGCCTGAGAACACCCCCGTGGGATCCCTGGTTATCGCCGTATCAGCTAGAGATTTAGACACGGGAAGCAATGGGGAAATAGTGTATTCGTTTTTTTATGCCACTGAAAGAATTCTCAAAACGTTTCAAATTAATTCAACGTCTGGCAATCTTCATCTTAAAGCCGAATTGAACTATGAGACAACTGAAATTTATTCGTTAACTATTCAGGCCAAAGATGGTGGAGGACTTTCTGGAAAATGTACCGTGGTTGTTGAGATAACAGATATAAATGATAATTCACCGGAAATTCTCATGTCATCACTCAATAGTCCTATTGCAGAAAACACACCCGAAACAGTCGTTGCCATTTTTAGGGTTAGAGACAGAGATTCGGGAAACAATGGGAAAATGATGTGCTCCATCCAGGATGCCCTTCCCTTCGTCCTGAAGCCATCTGTGGAAAATTTCTATACTCTAGTAACAGAGAGTCCACTGGACAGAGAGACCAGGGCCGAGTACAACATCACCATCACGGTCACCGACTTGGGGACACCCAGGCTCAAAACCCAGCACAACATAACCGTGCAGGTCTCCGACGTCAACGACAACGCCCCGACCTTCACCCAAACCTCCTACACCCTGTGGGTCCCCGAGAACAACAGCCCCGCCCTGCACATCGGCACCATCAGCGCCACAGACAGAGACTCGGGCACCAACGCCCAGGTCACCTACTCCCTGCTGCTGCCACCGCCGCCGCCACCGCCCCGAGACCCGCACCCGGGCTTCGCCTCGCTCGTGTCCATCAACGCCGACACCGGGCAGCTGTTCGCGCTGCGCGCGCTGGACTACGAGACCCTGCGCGCCTTCGAGTTCCGCGTGGGCGCCGCCGACCAAGGCTCGCCCGCGCTCAGCAGCGAGGCGCTCGTGCGCGTGCGCGTGCTGGACGCCAACGACAACGCGCCCTTCGTGCTCTACCCGCCGCACAACGCGTCCGCGCCCTGCACCGAGCTGCTGCCCCGCGCCGCCGACGCCGGCTACCTGCTCACCAAGGTGGTGGCGGTGGACGCAGACGCCGGCCAGAACGCCTGGCTGTCCTACCAGCTGCTCAAGGCCACCGAGCCCGGGCTGTTCAGCGTGTGGGCGCACAACGGCGAGGTGCGCACCGCCAGGCCGCTGGGCGAGCGCGACGCGCCCAGGCACAGGCTGC